AGCTTCGGGGACACCGTGGTCGGGATGAGCGACGCGGAACTTAAGCGAGCGCGTAGTGTGATGTTGTCTTTCCAGGCTCCCAGGCATGCTGGTGTTTCGTTGAGAGCCAAGACGGCGCTCCTAGGTGACCCCATGTGGAGGAGCATGATCGCCCCTGCGCTGGCGTGGTCACATGCGGTCTGGATGGCCACCACGCGCCCCGAGCACGCCTTCTTCTCGATTCAGGAGCTGTGCAGTATGTGGCGGACCGTCCCGCCCGCAGGCCACAACTGGGCTAAAAGCAAAGGCCCGATCAGTCGAATGCACCTCTCCCTGCAGCGCATCGGATGGGAAGCCTACACCCCCCTCGACTGGCGCGATGATAATGGCGTGGAGATATCCCTGCTGTACACCACCCCGTCCATGATGGGGCACTGGCTCTGTTTAGGGGTTCAGAGGCACCACGAGCGCGTCCTGGGGGAAAAGCTCGGGTGGACCCCTGGGACCAGAGTGTGTGTGGAACCGATCCGACGCATTACGAGGCCTGGGATAAAAGGTATCGGACTCAACGCCCAGGGTAAATACTTAGTGATGGCGTGTTTTTGTGAAGGGCTCTGGACCGAGGACAGGGCTTTGCGGTCAGGATACATCACACCAGGCCTCTGCCCCCTGTGTCAAGAGCCCGACTCAGTAGGCCACAGGATCTTCAGATGCCAGCACGAGGAGGTCGTCGCGGCAAGGCAGGCTGCCGACGTCTCCACGGCCTTTATCGAGCGTGCTCAGTGCGGGGACACGCAGTTTTTCGAGGCCCTCAAGTTTCAGCACCCAGCGGCCGAGTGGCCGAACCTTTCGGATGTGCACGAGCCTGAGCTTTTCGACATGAATTGGCAAAAAGTGGAGTGGGAGCAGTTTGATGGGTCCGCCTTTTTCCAAGCAGGAGATGGGTCGTGCGCCAGGCACACCATCAGAGAACTCTCGAGGGCGGCGTACTCGTGGGTTTTCTTTGATGCGGAGGGTGTGCAGAGGTATGTTGCAAAAGGAGTTGTGTGGCCGAGCCTACCCCAAACCAGCCAAGCGGCAGAACAGCTCCAGCTCGCTTTGTTACCTATACATGTGCCAAATCATGGGCCGATGTTATACAGCGACTGCATGAATGCCGTCAAACTGCATAACAGTGAACCGTCATGTCAAGTGTCGGCCAAGCAACGTTATGGAGGGTTGAGAAGGGGGGCCTTGCTCCATATGAAGAATCAAGAGTATGCCCCAGCTGTTCACACCCCAGCCCATAGAAAGTTAGAAGACATCGAGCAACTGCCACCACCTGAGCGGTGGATTGGCCAGGCTAACTGGCGAGCGGATCGGGAAGCGAAAGGAGCCCTCGACCTCCATCCCAGGCCCGCGCCCGCCGACTGGCAGCAGTTAGATAGTTCGATCGAGAGTCTCGAAACGGTCGCCCGCCTTGTGGCGAATGTGTGGCCGTGTTTTCCTAGGGCGCACCACCAACGCCAGCCCCGTCGTGAGCGCCAGCGCAAGGTCATTGATGGCGCAACGAGCTGGCACGACTGGGAACCCTGGCTGTGGGGTCACAGGTGCGCCAAGTGTTTAAGTTTTTATGGGGGGCACCTCCAGGACAGGCCTGAGGTGGGTTGTAAGGGTCTCTCGAGAAGCCTCACCAAGATGCTCTCTGAGGCCCCCTCCCACGGCCACAAGTTAGCTAGTACGCAAGTAGGTGATGAGGAGCTGCCCCTGGTGTTTTGTATGCTTTGTGGTAGCTACTCGCAGGAAAAAGTGCGTAATCTGGCTGGGAAGTGTGGTCCAAGGGAACACAGTGCAGGTGCCAGTGTGCTGAGTAGGCTCAAGAGAGGCCTCCACCCTCAGCGCAATGTCGCAGTGTCTTGTGCAGCTCCTGAACGGCCAGCGTCAGGAGCTGCTGTGCGTGCTTTCGCCACCGCTTCGCGGGTTCATCTCATTCCGCCGTGCTCGTCTCATCTGGCGTGTCTGGCCCCTCTTAGGGCTAGGATTGCTGAGAGAGAAACGGGGGTGCGGGTGGACTTCGGGAGCGGTGGGCGGGGAGGACAGCAAGAGGCTCCGAGAGTGCAGGGCCCTGCACCAGGAGACGAAGTTTTTGATGCTTTGTTCGAGGCTGAGGAAGCCGAAGCCCGTGTTTTGTTGGAGGGCAGGGAGCCTGGTGCAATGACAGAGGCTCCCGTGCGTGGCACCTCCGCTGTGTCTGACCCCCGTGTGGGGATGAGGGGCATGTCCGACTTGCCATTGCGCGAGGAAGATGAAGCTCCTCTGACTCCGAACCGCCTTGTGGACTCGGAGTCGGGGTCAGACTAATGCCTGGGGGACTGGCGAGTGGCCAAGGGACATCCTCCCTCCTTGGGAAATGAGTCCGTGGTCGATTGCTGGTCCCTTTTCTGGCGTTGTTCTGAAGGGCTGCCCAGGCAGCCGCTTACAAACAGGTCTGGCCGCAGTGGCCAAAAAAAAAAAAATACTCCTCCTCCCCCTCCTCCTCCTCCCCTCCTCCTCCTCCTCCTCCTCCTCCTACCTCACCACGTGAGAAATGAAACTGCTGGAAACTCCTCCTCCTCGTCCTCCTCCTCGGCTCCGCCCATGACCCTCACGGACCCCCGGGCCTCGGCAGGAGATCGCCGACCTTAGCTCCAGCATCGAGCTGGCCACGGCGACCCGCAGCAAGGACGCGTCTGCGCCGCAAGCGGCCGCCCACCTTGCGCCCTCCGAGTCCCGTTTCCTCCTCCTTCTCTTCCCCCTCCTCCTCCTCCTCCTCCTTCTCCTCTTCATCCTCCCCCCCCTCTCATCCCCCTCTACAATTACTCAATATGAAAATACTCTCCCTCTTCCCCTGATGGCGGTTGGGTGATCGCCGACCCCCCCCCCGCGTACTGTTTTTTCACACACAGGATTCCCGGGGAACGGGTTTTCGCCTGCGTTTTTTCCAAAATGCTGCTCTCGCTGAGGCGTTGGCCTCATTTCTGCTCCCGAATCGTTCCGAATCGTGCTCCCGCTGCAGCGTGGGCCTCATTTTCGGATCGGTGTTTGGCCTCCGTCGTTCAGGATGGCGTTCTCGCCCCAGCGCGGGCCTCTTTCTCGCGCGCCCATCCGCCCGCCACCACTGCGCCGCACCACCACCACCAGCACCACCACCACCACCAGCACAACCACCACCAGCACCACCACCACCAGCACCACCAGCACCAGCACCACCACCACCACCACCACCACCAACAACACCACCACCACCACCACCACCACCACCACCACCACCACCACCACCACCACCACCACAACCACAACCACAACCACAACCACAACCACAACCACGCACACACGCACGCACGCACGCACGCGCACCACCACCCACTACGCACGCGCGCGCGGAGCCACAGGTCCGCTACGACACGCGTCCGCGGATAGAGAAAATCAGCGCCATGGTAAGGGATGGGAGGGAGGGGTAGGACGTCAGATATGACGCGAGCGCACCTAGCTTGCCTCCTCCCCATCCTCCCCCTCCTCCTCCTCCTCCCCCTCTTCCTCCTCCCCCTCCTCCGCCTTCTCCTACTCCTCCTCCTCCTCCTCCTCTCCTCCTCCTCCTCATCCGTTTTCTCCTCCAGCGGCGGCGGCGAGGAGACGAAGCCGCCCACGGGACCCCTTCGGTCATATGATTTTGCTTGCCACGGCGAGGAGCGCGCAGGCGGCCTTACGCACCGGAAAGCGGTGTATTGTAAGGTGTGCGGCCAGTCCAAGTTGCCGAAGCGGGGTCAGTGCCGATCCCACCCCAGAGGCGAGCCGTCATCCAGTGGGTAATTGAAAATACGGTAGGTTCGTGTCGTGTCGACGGGGTAAATACTGAGCGCAGGCGTTCAAGATTGAACGCGCCCAGTGACCCAGAATTGGCTAGTACGGGGCGATCTCGCGGTCGAAACGAAAAGCGGCCGCTCGTTCTGGGTTGAACGATCCACGCGGCGCCAGAAACCATGGCCGAAATGGTCACGAGACGAACTTTCTTCACGCTTCGCGTTTAGAGCTGAAGGCTCTTTCGCAGGGGTGGTCTTGAAGCTCTCTTGGCTATCTCTTTCAAAGTGTTTTGGGACCAGCTCAGGGCCATCTTGGAGGCAATCGAATGAAGAACGGGGGTCGCCCAATGTAGGCCCCCCCGCTTCCTTGGAGACCACACAGTGGCATCTTGGGTATACATGGAGGTGCTATTGGGCACCTCTTGGAGGCTTCTTAGGCCATCTTGGGGCCCTCGAAGCCTCAGAAAGCTCATCGAACAAGGAAAAGGTCAGAAGGCGAGCATCGCTTATGTTCCATATGTGTTCGAATAACTTGAGCATCTCGGGGTCCTCCTTGGAAGGCTCCGTGGCCACTTGGAGCCGTCCTGGAGCTGTCTCTGGGCTTAGTGGGCCCTGGAAACGACAGGGCCGTTTTTTCACCGGTTCCGTTTTGCCGTCTTTTTGCCGGTTCCGACGCAATTTGTTTACCAGTTCCGTCGCCGTTCTTTTACCGGTTCTGGCTCCAGTTTCAAACCTGAAGTTGTTTTTTTGCCGTTTCCGGTCGCCGTGTTTTTGCCGTTTTCATGTTCAAGGGACATTTTTTCGGAAACGGTGAAAAAACAGCCCTGCCGTTTCTGGGGCCCACTAAGTCTCTGGGCCTCTTGGAGGCATCTTCCAAGCTAGCTTGAGCCATCTTGGGCGATCTTGTGCCATCTTGAAGGCTACCTTAGAGCGGATTGGGGCATCTTGGAACCATCTTGGACGCCCTGACCAGGGGCCCCCCAGCCCCCAGGCAGGGGGAGACGTGGGATGAACCACGTCCCCGAATGCTGAAAGAAGGGGCTTGGGAGGGAAAAGCAGATCCGTCATACCATCGACGCAGACCCGTCATCTAGCGGCGCCTGTTTGGCCCGTGCCTCACACACAGACACATAACGACGCGAAGCCGCGTTTGCCGAGAGATGATACCACGGCCCTCCTCGAGCCTCCCCCGAGCGTAAGCAGCCGCCTGCTCACCTGCCGCCACCGCCGCACCTCGGCCGAGGAGAAGGCCGACTTCGAGAACGCCGAAGCGGAGATGACCCAGGCCATCGAGGCGCTCTCCAAGGCCGCCGAGGTCCTGAAGACTGCCACCGAGGCCGCCAAGCAAGAGACGGAACGACCACCACCTCTCGGAGGTCTCCTCCGCGCGGACTTCTGGAGCTGGCGCTGGACCCACCCCGGGCGTTGCCTCCGGCGCCGCGCATATGTCGCGCTCCGCGCGCCGGGGGAGGCGGCGGCGGGCCAGGGCCCGTCCGGAGAAGTCCGCGCGGACCTCCGAGAAGGGTTGTGTTATCCTGTCGCTTGCCCTTCCGGCGCGAGGGCCACGAGACCGGCGTGCTGACTGAGATCAAGGCCGCCCGAGCGCCGCCGCCACGCCCTGCGGCTCGGGCTCCTCCCGCCCCCGTGCGACCTCACCCTCCTCCTTCCACCCCTTCGTCTGCTCTGCGGGCACGCACTGCTCTATGACAGTGGCTCGGGGGGTCGCCCGACTTGCTGCCCTTCGCCCTGTTGTACCTGGTCCCGCGCGCCAGGGTTACAGGTGACATCTCCGTCGGCTGCTGAGGCGGAGAGTTCCTGTCTGTTGCACGCCACGCCAGTCAGGTCCAAACTGGTAACGTCAGGAGGTCTTCAGTTTTGATGTCCCCCTTTTCACTTGGCGGTCCTAAAACTTGTTCCTCTTGCCGAGGCATGAGTAGTAGTAGTAGTAGTAGTAGTAGTAGTAGTAGTAGTAGTAGTAGTAGTAGTAGTCGTAGTAGTAGTAGTAGTAGTAGTTGTAGTAGCAGCAGTAGTAGTAGTAGTAGTAGTAGTAGTAGTAATAGTAGTAGCAGTAGCAGCAGTAGTAGTAGTAGTAGTAGTAGTAGTAGTAGTAGTCGTCGTAATCAGTCGTAGTCGTAGTCGTAGTCGTAGTTGCAATAGGAGTAAGAGTAGCAGTAGTAGTAGTAGTAGTAATAGTAGTAGTAGTAGTAGTAGTAGCAGCAGTAGCAGCAGCAGCAGTAGTACTAGTCTCAGTAGGAAGCGCAAGAAACAATTAAGAACTCCCCCCTCCCCGGCGAAAGTATAACGCACCAGGCACCCCAGAAGCGTTACCCTGGCACCTCGCACCTTAATGTGAACGCAGACGAGTCTTCTCGCCGAAACACATTATGATGTTTGTTATTATTGTTATGGTTATCTTTACTCGTGTGCCACTCTTACTATGTTTCTGATTCCTAGTCCAATTGGGATACCACCGAGGTGGGGCGCGGGAATTATTTGTTGCCGTTCCATTTGCGCGATGCTAATCGAAAACCGCGCCCCAGAATTATTTAATTACGGTGCTGTGCTAATGATAACCCCTGGGGGGTCCTTATTGGCCTCTTGCGGTTAGTCGTCGTCGTCGCAGTCGCAATCGTAGTCGTAGCTGTCGTTGTCGTCGTTGCGCGGCGGGTGCTGCGGACAGAAATTATAAGTTACCCCCATTGGTGGGACCCCATTCTTTCAATAAGACCGCCGAACACAATAGTTACCCCCCACTGGGGGGGTGTGCAAATTTATCGCGGTTAAAGTTGCCGAAAAGGAAACTTATACGTATCGTGTTTGTGTAGCGCCCGCAGACGTGTCGTCGGTAGGGCGGTCTGGGCGTTTCGTTTGCGACTCGCGCGCGATCTATAGCGTATTTTCAACAGTTTCACGGACGGAGAGGGGCCCGTTTCCAAAGTGTGGTTCTCGCCTGAGCGCCGCGTAAATTCGATAAAGACAACAGTGTTACGGTTCTTGCCCGAACGCCGCGCGCATTCGTTGCAACGTATTGCAATAGCGTCCGTGATTGAGGACGGCTCTCCTTCAAGCTGCGGCATTATTGTCATAACGCCGTGCGCATTCTTTTTTGAACGTCGGCCACACTTTCTCAGAGTTTCACGGCTGAAGTCGCAGGACTGGTGTGTTCGCATGATTTGCGGTTACCAGGACGCATCAGTCACGTTGATTCGTGGTGTCGAAATGTTGGGAATGGTTCCTTGGGACGATGTAGGGTTGCCAGGACGCAGCAGCAAAGTGATTCGCACCGTTGGGCTCCCAGGAATTGTGTTATGGCCCGAGTGAGGGTTCTCAGACGTATGTCTTCCAATGAGACACCCCCCCACAATGAAAACATGCATTTTCGTAGGGACCACAGAGGGTGGAATGTTAGCCAGCGGGGGCCCCAAACAGTGTGTTCCTAGCAATCTAGGTTGTACGACCTATGTGTAACAATCTACGTTGTGCCATCTACTTGGTCAATCTCGTTTGTGGACTCCACGCAGTGCAACCAATTTCTGTTCGCAGCGAGTCGTCCCTTCCATTGCTCGCGCAATCATCCCACCCACCCGCCCGCAACTTGGTTTGCAAAAGCCATGCGGCGGCGATTGCGACGATTGTATGGAGTTGACTGGTGGTTATCTACGGCCGCGCTAGCCCGCGCAGTCTCGCGCGCGCAGCGGCCAGCTAGTTCGGCGCGACCGACACGTCCGCGGTGGCGCTGACCGCTCGGCACTTCTCAGCGGGCACTTGAACGCGAGTCGGCGACCAGGGCGGGCGCGGTATCTCGGCAACGTCGACAACGGCAGATGCGATGATGATGATGATGATGATGATGATGATGATGATGATGATGGTGGCGATGCTGGTGACGATGGTGACAACGACGACGGCAAGGCCAGTGACGGCGCCGATGTTGATCACGCCGACGACGATGACGGCCATTTCGCGTCGGTGACCGAAGTTTTGGGACGGGTTCAACATGCGCGCGCGATCGACGCGCAAATGGTGCTCGCATGCAGTTATTTGACACGGACCGTGCCCCCCTCCCCCAGCCCGAACGCAAAGGCATTCGATTGGTTTCGGCATGCGGCGGGCGCGAGGGGCCCGTGTGTCAGAAGCTAATCAATGTCGAAGTGTGGTTTTCTTTGTTCTATAAAAAACGCAGGAACGCGAGCGCAGACATGCTTCGAATATTGCGTTGCCAAACCCTGTGTTGTTTGTCCGAACCATCGTGTGGTTTTGGTTCCCCGGTTTGAAGAAACAGCGCCCCGCGTCACCTCGCCTCTCGCTCTTCTCCTCCTCCTTGCCTCTGCCCTCATCAGCATGCGCCTGCCCATGTCAACGCACCGTTTCGTGTCACCGTGGGGAGTTCCACCTAAACTCCCAATTGTTGCGCTCGCATGAAGCTCACCCGCCCAGCACAACGCTTCTTAGCCCCATAGGGAGCTCCACCGAAAGCCACAGCGGCTGCACTTGCATACGGTTCCTCCACCCAGCACTGCGCTTCGAGGCCCTACAGGGAATTCCACCGATGACCCACTGGCTACACTCGCATGCGGTCCCCCCGCCCATCACACAACGCTTCGTGGCCTCAAGGGGAGTTCCACCGAAGGCCCCAGTGGCCACGGCCCCGCCCGAGCTTGGTCGCAGGATGACCTGGTGTCGAGGGGGAGGAGGAGGTGGAGGACGAGGACGAGGACGAGGAGGAGGAGGAGGAGGAGGAGGAGGAGGAGGAGGAGGAGGAGGAGGAGGAGGAGGGAGGGGGGGAGGAGGGAGGAGGAGGACGAGGAGGAGGGAGGAGGAGGAGGAGGAGGAGGAGGAGGAGGCGCAGGAGGAGGTGGTGTTGGAGGAGGAGGAGGAGGAAGAGGAAGAAGAAGAGGAAGAGGAGGATGATTAAAAGTAGGAGTAGGAAGAGGAGTAGGAAGAGGAGTGAGACGAGGGGGCGGCTGAGGAGGAGAGGGGGAGGAGGGAGACGAGGAAGGGTGGGGGGAGGAGGAGACGGAGGAGAAGTGTGAAGCAGATGAAGGGAGATGGGGGCAGTTACTCGGTGTTTCGACACAGCGTTTCCGCTGCAGCCTGGGCCTCATGTTAGGATCGGTGCGGTGCTCCCGTCGTTCACAGGGGCGCTCCCGCCTCATCGCGAACAACTTGTCTGGACCCGCGTCCTTTCTTGGCGTTGCTTCCCCGTTCCTGTCCTCTCCTCCGCCTTCCCCTGGTCCTCCTGCTCCTCCCTCTCCTCCCACGCCTGTCGCTGCTTCTGCTGCTGCTGCTGCTGCTGCTGCTGCTGCTGCTGCTGCTGCTGCTCGCCCTCCTGAAGGGGGCACAGACGTCGCCCGCCCGCCCGCCCGCGGGAGGTCCAGGCCGGGCACCGCGCGGAGGCGGCGGCGAAGGAGACTCTGGGGGGGGGGGGGCGGCAGCCCAACACCAGCTCGTGGGCGGTAGGCGCATCCACATCCACATCCTCGCGGGCTGGGCGCCTGGGCCGCGGCCCCATGGATACAGGGTGTGTTTTCGCGGATGCCCCCACGCGCACCACGGCCTCGCGCCCAGCGCTCCAGAATCCCGACCGCGAGGGCGTGGATATGAATAATGATGTTCGCTGCTCGTGACTAGCACCGGTCCTGACCAGGTCAATCGCGGGCCCAGGACTCGCGCACGGCACGCGAGCGTTTTTTTGTTACCCTCTGGGCCATCATGCGCGTTATACCCCCTTCCCCCCCCTCCCCCCCCACAACGTAACGCTCCCCCCCTCAGCGCGTCCCCAGCACAGCCGCAGTGCGTCCAGCACCAGTCTGGAAGGGGGGCGGTACGTTATGCCCCCTCCGGTTCCCCCCCCCATCACACCCGTGATGGCAGCAAAAAATGGTGCGCTCCACGCTCACGCCTCGCCGACACGGCGGCGACCCCGGCGCGCGCGCTCGCGGGATCGCTGCCGCGGGTCCCGCAGTCCGCCGACAGCGAACGGCCTGCGATGTCGGGAAGCCGCGGTTGCCCAAGGTTGATGGTTCCGCACGGTGCTGGAAGCCAGCGCCAGCGCCAGCACTATGTGAGCATGCCGTGCACGCGTGCGGGATCCAGTCGGACCGGGGTAGAAGGTCGAGGTCGGTTCGGCCAGGGTGCCCTAGTGTCCTTCGTGCTTGTTGGATGCTCCTTGCGCATCCTGGAGAGGGTACCCGGGGACGTGCTTTCTGTTTTGGCCGACGGCGGGCCTCATGTCCTTGAGGGGTGCTCTTCTGGCCTGGGCCCTCGGTCCGACTGTGCACGGAGCTTGGGGCCTGGGATTGGCACGGCCCGGCTCGGTGCTGGCGCACGGGTCGGCGCGCCGAGGAGACCGCGATGCTGAACCACGCCGTCGAGCTCGGCGACCGCTTCCTCGGCAAGGGTCTCGCGCTCGGCCGCCCCGCGCGCCTCGCCGTGAGGGGAAGCGGTCCCGCGGAGGAGGTGTGCGCAGTGTGCTTCGCCATGCTCGTCGGCCTCACGCGGGGCGTTCCAAGGAGGGCCTTGCCTTCGAGGATCGAAGGAGTTGCCATCTCTTTCTCGGCGGAAGGCGGCAGAAGGGCAGCAGCAAGTCGGCGGACGTAAAACAAGGCCGCCTCCGCCAGCGGAAGCCAGCTGAGGCTCGGCGGAAGGCGGCGGAAGTAAATGATGCGCCCCCAAGAGATGAAAACGTTTTTGGGTTCAGGGTGTCTGGAATCCGCCACGTGGCCCGTCCCAGGCCCCAGGACCGCCAAAACGCCATTCGGGATGGAATGCTGGACCGGGGTCCGGGACTAGTTTCCCTCGGGGCCCCCTCTCCCGCACGGCAATCGGATGGTCGGTGCAGGTGTTTGTCGACCATGTGCCTCTCGGGATCGAGAGAGAGAGAGTGCCAATGACACGTTGCCGACGGGATCCCGTCAGCGCGTTACTCCTTCGCTTGTGCTCGCAGGGACCTCGCGTGCCTTCGCCAGCAGCAGGCTGCCCGGGGCCCCCACGGCGGCGTGCTCTTGACACGGCAATGGCCGCCCCTCCCGAGCCTCTGCACTTGTGCCGGGTATCCAGATCCCCATTCGTGCTCACTATTCCGCGCGTAGACATCATGTAAGCGGCGTCCGGGGCCCCGCGGCCCAGGGTCGCACACTTTTCCCAAACTCCCCCCCCTCCCCCCCCGTAAGCGAATTTGCCCCCTGGGCTGCGGGGGCCTTTGTTGGCATCCAGGAGCCCGTTTTCGGCATCCCGGAACTTGTTTCGCTTCCCCGAGGCGTCCACCTAGGCTTCTGGGGACGGCAAGAAGCCGTCAAGACGGCTCAAGAGCGCTCCAAGCCGCCCAAGATGGCCCCATGATCGGCCCAAGAGGCCCCCAAGAGGCCCCAAGGTCGCTCCGCAAGGAACTCCAAGAGAGCCCCAAGACGCCAAAATCATTCATGTTCATTGTGTTTTCCGATGTTTGTTGCTTTCTCACGTTTTCGACGTCGCCCCAAGAGGCCCCCAAGAGGCCCCCAAGACAGCCCAAGAGGGCCGCATGATCGGCCCAAGAGGCCCCCAAGAGGCACAAGAGGGCCTGAAGAGGGCCTGAAGACGGCTTCAAGATGGGCCCAAGAGAGGGAACGCGAACCGACCTTTCGAGTTTCCCTCCCAGAGACCCCCAGGAGGCCCAGGCATCCAAGTGGCCCCAAAGATGCTCAACAGAGGTCCGACAAGCTCCACAACGCCCCCGTGGAGGCTTCAAACCTGCTTCCAAAAGGCCCCCCGAGAGGCATCCCACGATATCATCCCAGCGAACATCCGAGAAGCTTCGAACCCACAACCCAGACACGGTTGCGGGATGGGCCCAGAACTGCGACCTCTGATTTGCATGGGGGGCTGGGGGGGCCTTGAGGGCTCCAACAGGGTTCAGAAGGGACCCCGGACCCCTCCAGAGGCTCCCGAGCTGGCCCAAGATGTTTCCAGGAGGCTCCAGAGAGCCCCCCAAATGCCCGAACGGAGGCGCCCTCTGCCCCAAGAGGCCCCCAGGAGGCCCCCAGAGACTCCCAGGAGGCCTCCACGACGCCCCAGAAAGCGACCAAAAAGGCTCCAGAGAGTCCCGAGACGCTCCCGAGAAACCCTCCCCGAGCTCGCAGGAGGCCTCTGCACAGACCCGCAGCAGGCCGCCAGAGGCCCCTCGCCCTCCAGAAAAAGCCCCTCGGAGCACGTGGCCCCGGCTGCGCCCCTCGACCCGCCCACCCGGCGTCGAGGCCCGAGGACGCCCCCGTGACGCCCGCAAGACGCTCCGGAAGCGCCTCTCCCGCACACGGTTTGCGGGTCGAGAGCGCACCTCTTCCGGTCGAAGCTGAGCGGGCCGCGCGAAGCTTGAATTCACAAAGAGGGGGGGAAGGAAAGGAGCGCAGCCTCACGGCGAGGCCAGGAGGGCCTCTCCCGCACATGTGGATCAGGTGACCATGATGCTGATCGTCGCTGGTCCGTCGTCGTCGTCGTCGTCGGTCGTCGCTGGTACGCTACAGGCCAAGCCCTTCCTTGAACTTCGCAGCATCCGCCCGAAAATCACGCATGGGTGAAAGGGAGGAACCCGGAAGACCACATGGAAAATGTCCCATGGAAATTGACACCGTCTTCGGAGTCGACTAGAACCTAAGCGCGCGCGCGAAGCGCGCGCGTGGTTCTAGTAAGTAGTGATGTCCCAGGCCTCCTAGGTATCGCGGGTGCTTTGGCACTCCGAGCCCGAGCATCGTTTGTTTGATTCGGCGTTGCTGATCAGGTGCATGAGCACGATCAGGACGCAGGAGAATGAGGGTATGGGAAGTGCTGCAGATGAGGAGGAGGAGGAGGAGGAGGAGGAGGAGGACGACGACGCAGACAAGGAGGGCGGGTGGAGGGGACGACGAGGAGGTCGATGAGAAGGTGGAGCTGGAGGAGGAGGAGGAGGAGGAGGAGGAGGCGGAGGAGGAGGAGGAGGAGGAGAGGGGGTAGGAGGAGGCTCAGCTCAATGCTGCATCAAGGTTCGTCGATCCTGTTATAGACTCACATCGGATCTACTTCATTGGGGATTGTTAGTTAGTCACGTCGCCTGGGCCTACGGCGAGTCCCCCGCGCCCCCGGCCGTCTGGAAACGCACGTGTCGTGAAACGTCGAACGAAAGCGTCGTCACTCTAGCGGACTGCATATTCACCAGGAAACCACTGGGGGAACACTGGATAGTGGCCGTCTAGGCCTGTTCCGGCCCGTCTGCTTCACCACCCACCAAACCACCCCAACCCAACCCGAAGGGTCAGATTTACCCTCGATTTCTAGTGGGGGGGGGTCCGGGAACATCGAAAAAACACATGTGGAACCCTTACCCCCCCAACCCGAAATTCGGGTCTTCGGGTTGGGTTGGGGTGGTCTGGTAGGTAGTCACTGCTTGCGGTGGTTCCCCTCTCCTTCCGCCTCCTCGTCTCCCGTCCCTCCTTGTCCTGTCCCTCCCTTCTTCTCCCCTTGCTCTCTACTTGCTGCCTCACCTGTGTCTTGTCTCGGCCGCCCGCCCGCCAGATTCGTCATGCCGCGCCGCCGTCACCGCGAGCAGGCGGCATTTGCTTTAATTGGATGCCTTTGAAGCCATTGTGGGGCGATCTTAGGTGCCTCCTTGGCCGTCTTGGGCTGCAGGAAACCCGAACAGACGAGACAGAGAACAACATAGTACAAGCTTGGGAACGTGAATGATTTGTTTATCTTGATGCCATAGTGGGGGTATACTTGAAGCCCTCATTGGGGCTTCTTGGGCCTTCTTGAGGTAATGTTGTGGGATTGTTAGGCTCTTAGGAGCTATCTCGAGCCATCCTGGAGGCCACCTTGGACAATTTGGGCCGACGTGCTTGCGACCCTCTTGGAGGTCCTCTTGGACCCACCTTGGCCGGAAAGCTCCGACAGGATGTATATTTATACGACCACCGTTCGGGTGATAAGGAGTTTTGGGAGTGGGGGGGGAAGCAACAATTGCTGGCAAATGCGAAGGGTGTGATGATGACGATGCTGATCACGCGACCTCGAAATCGCGACGACGCGTGATGGCGATGTTGCGTTGCGATGTACTGTCAACATCGTCCCCGCTTTCGATCTCACTCGATCCATCCCACCATCGACCTCAAAGGATCGATCACAATCGATCGATCTCACTATAGATCTCAATATCGATATCATCACTAATTATGGATCTCACTGTAGACTTCGCTTCCGAGCTCACTATCGATCTAAGTATCGATCTCACTATCGATTCCTCGATCGATGTCACTATCGATCTCACGATTAATCTCACAACTAAAGTCACTGTCATCCCCGCTGTCGATCTCACGTTTAATCTCACGATCCATCCCATTCTAGCCATCTCGTTATCGATCTCACTATCGACTTCACTACAGATACCAGGGCGGGACACCCCCAGCCACCGCCCACCCACTGCCGACGGAGCACCGACGGCATACCAACGGGGCACCAACGGGACACAACACGACACCACGGCGGGACACACCGGGCCACCGCGCGCACACCTGGGGCGGAGGGTTCACTGCACCCGAATCGCCCTAGCGACGGCGGGGTCATTCCTCTCGCGCGCCCACGCAGCTTCGCCTCGCCCCAGTGGAGTGCTCTCCATTCCACGGCGATCTCGCCCCCAAACCTCGGATGTTGCAGTCCTTCCGGGTGGCGGGCCGGTCGGGCCGAAGGCCCCCGGGAACATTTTGGAAGGGGCCACAGTGTCTCGGCAGTTTGACACGTTAAGGCGTCGGCGAAACTAGTTCCCTTCAGCCCACCCGTCACCGTGCAAGTGTCGGGGATCGAAGGCGGCGTGGATTCCTTTCGAGGCCTCTTTGGATTCCTGTCGGGGGCATCTTGGAGGACTCTTGGGGGCATCCTCGGTCTTGGGGGCATCTTGGGGGCCCCTGAGGCCTCCTGGGGCACTCGTGAGCCAACGAGGGGCGATCGCCAAAAAAGAAGAACTGGCACGCTCGCGGTCCGCGTCATTTGCGAAGCTGCACGGCCCGTAAGTTGACAATGTGGTAGGCTTCTGCCCGCTGGTTGTGCGTGTGAGGTTGTAACATTTGTGAGTCGTTTGGGCCGTTGGGGGTGTTCACACATCGCCCGTGTCTATTTCCTCACCATCCTGTGGTGTTGGGTGAGAAGACAGCGCCCCGCGTTCCTCTCCTCCTCCTCCTCCTCCTCCTCCTCCTCCTCCTCCTCCTCCTCCTCCTCTCCTCCTCCTCTCCTCCTCGTCTCCTCCTCCTCCTCTCCTCCTCCTCCTCCTCCTCTTCCTCCTCCTCCTCCTCCTCCTCCTCCTCCTCCTTCCTCCTGTCCGTGCATCTGCCCTCCGCATGTCGCTGTTTCGGCGCACCCCTCGCAGGTTTCGTGACCCCACTGGGAGCTCCACCGAAGGCCCCAGAGGCGGCACCCGCACGTAGGTCAGCGTCAATTTCGGTGAACCGCTCACACGTTTCGTGGCCCCGTAGGGGGCTCCCCCTGAGGCCCCAGTGGCAGCGCCCGCATGTTGTTCCACCCCTATTTCGGGACACCCCTCACACGTTTCGCGGCCCCATGGGGAGCTCCACCGATCCACCCTCCATGTTGGCGAACCGCTCACACGTGTCGTAGCTCCATGGGGGTGGCTCCACTGTCGGCCCTGGTGGCAGCGTTCAATCCCGATTTCAATGCACCCCTCACACGTGTCGTGGCCCCATCGGGAGCGCCACCGAAGGCGGCAGCGCCCAGTTCCACCCCCATTTCGGCACACCCCTCATACGTCTCCACCGAAGGCCTCAGAGGCAGCGCCCGCATGCGGTTCCATCCCTATTTCGGCGACCCCCTCACACGTTTCGTGGCCCCATAGGGTGCTCCACCTGAGGCCCCAGTGGCAGCTCCCGCATGCGGTTTCACCCTCCATGTCGGCACACTTTTCACACGTTTTGTGGCTCCACAGGGAGCTTCACCGAAGGCCCCAGCGGCAGCGCACGCATGCGGTTCCACCCCAATTTCGGTGCACCCCTCAGACGTTTCGTGGCCCCATGGGGGTCTCCACCTGAGGCCCCAGTGGCAGCGCCCGCATGCGATTCCACCCTCCATGTCGGCAGACGTTTCACACGTTTTGTGGCCCCACAGGGAGCTTCACCGAAGGCCCCAGCGGCAGCGCCCGCATGCGGTTCCAACCCAATTTCGGTGCACCTCTCACACGTTTCGTGGCCCCATGGGGAGCTCCACCGAGGGCCCCAGTGGGAGCGCCCGCATACGGTTCCGCCCCCATTTCGGCACGACCCCCAACATGGTTCGTGGTCCCATAGGGGGCTCCACTTGAGGCCCCAGTGGCAGCGCCCGCATGCGGTTCCACCCTCCATTTCGGCGAACCCCTCATATGTTTCGTGGCCCCAGGTAGGGGACCTACTGACAGCGATATCCATAACGACGGTACCCGCAACTGCATATAGTTGGACACTTCGCCAGGCTAAGTGTGACCGCCTCTTCGCCGGCTGGCCACGTTCGACCTTTGCCGAGATGGAGTTCTACAGCGATTCGAGCGCCTTTTCCGCGCTCGTTGTCAAGGGGCGGCAGCGACGTTTCAATGGGTTTGGTTATAGCCCCCTTGAGTGGAAGCGGATTCGACACGCAATCGGAGCGGGGGATGTTGTTGATGGTTGTTTCGTGAAGGTAAAACGCTCGCGGTCTCGCGTCCGACGACATGGCGCGGGAAGAGACCTGGGCGGCACACAGGCGGGCGCGGAGTTTCAACAAGTCGCTGCACGGCGCTGGGGCGAGAACGCCATGTATAGCAGTCGCTCGGGCGGCCCGCTGTCCGAGGAGCGCGGCGAAGACGACGCATTCGCCGCACCGAAGCAGCACTGCACTCTCACGCCATCTGCGCGGCGCTCGGGCGAGGACGGCAGTTCCACCGTGGTCGCGCGGCTGCAGCTGCCGCTGCCATGCGATCTCGGCGAGCGAGATGTGCAGCGCGTCCGCGCGGGAATGCTTCTCCGATGCGAGACGTGCACGAAAAGCCGAGGCGAGGGCGGCAAGTCGCCCCCCGCTCGCGTGTGACCCCGCCCCGAACGACCTGGCGAGCGAGACATGTGCGCCGCGCCGGCGCGTGAGCGCCTTACAGTCGGGGCGCTGAAGAAGGAAGTCTTTTCGTTGGGGAGGGGCTCCGTGCTCCTTAATTGTTTCACAGTTTGCCCCACGTTTTCCTTAGGTTTTCGAAGAGAAATCGAAGTTCAACTTCTGGAGAAAAGGGGCCTCGTTCCTTATTTAGGGTTCCTTAGGTCAGCGCCCCGACTGCATTCGGGCAAAATGTGCGCGGCGCCGAGGCGAGAGCGGCATTAGGCAGTGCTGTGCGCTCGCCGATGTTTATAAGAGTTCGAGCGCGGTGCCAAAGCGAGAGCAACAGTGCGCCTTTTCGCACGCGCTGTGCGCCCTTTCAGATTCCTGCCGATCGTAAGACGTATATTCTACAAAACAACGATGCTGAAAGGGAACTCGTCAGTTTGGCTTTCTAGATGTGTACGATGGGAGGACTAGGCGCTGGCCTTGAGGAACACGCACTGGGGAGGACGGGAAGTACAATGAGGAGGAGGAGGAGGAGGAGGAGAAGGAGGAGGAGGAGAATGACGACGACGACGACGAGGAGGAGGAGGAGGAAGGGGGAGGACAAGCTAGGTGCGCCCGCGTCATATCTGACGTCCTACCCCTCCCTCCCATCCCTTACCATGGCGTAGACCTCCTCTTTATTCGCACAGTCGGATGTCTTAGCAGCGCATAGCATTACATGGCATAACATGGTGTTGAAGATCAACGCGTAGCCTGATGACATAGCATGGCGTGACGACGCCCCACAGTGGGGAGGTTCTGCGACTCAAAAACATCAACGAATCGGCACCGAATGTGTAATCATTTCCGATGGTGGTTTCGAGGTGAATGTTTTAGATGTTGGGGTGCAATTTGGATGGACCGAAAACCATGCCGTGGCATGACGCTGGAAGGAATGACGCCAGCGCTGAAGCGGGAGCACGCTTCGGAACGAGCGGAAGCGCGGAAATGAGGCCAGCGTTGCAGCGGGAGCACGATTCGGAATGAGCGGTAGCCCGAAACTGAGGCCAGCGCTTCAGCGAGAGCAGCATGTTGAAACAAAAACCAAGCGACAATCTGTTTCCCGGGTATCCTGTGTATAAAACAAAACCGTACGCGGAGGGGGGCCGAATAATTCCGTGACGTCACGAGAGGAGAGAGGACAGATATTCAGATTGTGCATTTGTGGAGGAGGAGGCGGAGGCCACACCGCGCTCGCCGAGGCGACGCCCTCTTCCTGCGCCGCCTGCTCACTGGCGAGGTGCCGGCTGGCCGGCAGGAGGGGGAGGGGGCTGAGCAGGAGCGGCGGCGGGAGGAGGAGGAGGCTCCTCCTCCTCCTCCTCCTCCTCCTCCTCCTCCACCTCCTCATCGTCCTCCTTCTCCTCCCCCTCCCATACCCATACCCATACCTGGTCATACATAGACACTGCCACTCAAACTCAATCACGCTCACACTCACTTGCACTCAGACCCGTTCGTATTCAGACTCGCTCGCACTACCACGGCCCTGTTCGCGCCCGGACTGTGGGGATGCATCTGGCGGTTTGCTAGTTCCTCCCCCATTAGACTCCTCTTGCTGTCAGCAGACTGTGAGGATGACTCTTGGCGGCGCGCACAGGGGGGTATGGGGAGGGGGGAAGCCTTCTTAGAAGCACCCCTGCTTCTTAGAAGGCGCGGACCTTGTCTACAAATGTAAGGCCGGCGCCTTCTAAGAAGCAGCCTCCTTCTAAGAAGCCTCCCCCCCTCCCCCATAACCCCCTCTGCGCGCCGCCAAGATTCAGGCGAGGCGCTGCTCTCAGCACCCCAAAGGGGGCGGCCGCCAGGTTTGTCTGCTCGCCCCGCTCGCGCCCAGATATTGTGGGGATGCCTCGGGCGGTGTTTGCCTGTTCTAGCCTCCCAGACTGTTTTTCGGGGGTTGACAGAACCCCCAACAGTGACGCGTCGATCAGTGAATTCTCCGTTTTCGGTTCTCGAGAGGGCGCCGCGGCCGTTATTTTCCAGGCTTGCGCCCGCCAGGTTTGGGCCTCAGGCCGTTTTCACTAAACCACGTTTTGCTCAAGGGGGGTCGGTCAGTCCCCGATTTTTTGCGTTCAGAGCAAATATAAGACGATCCCTCAGGCGAGGCGCCAGCTCCAGATCCCCAAGGGGGATCCGCCATGATCTGTTTGCGCGGTCCCCTTCGCGCCCAGACTGCGGGGATGTCCCGGGCGGTTTGCGCCCCCCCCCCAGAAGACCCCTTCTGGCCGCCAGAGCAGAGTATGAGGATGTATCAGGCGGGGCGCTGACTTCAGCACTCCAACGTGGAGCCGCCAGGCTTGTCTGCACAGCCCCGTTCGCGCCCGGACGGTGAGGATAGATTGCCCGTGTGTGTTTGTTGTGCCCACCCACATCTTTTTGGTTGTCAGAGCAGATTGTGAGGAGCCCACGCATATCTTTCTGGCTGTCAGCGCAGATTGTGAGGAGCTCTCAGGCGAGGCGCTGGTTTCAGCACCCGAAGGGGGAGCCGCACGGGTTGTTTGCACTGCCCCGTTCGCGACCAGATTGCGGGGACGTCACAGGCTGTTTGCGGTCTGTCACCTCTGGACCCTTCCGCGTTCAGAAGAGAGCGTGAGGATGTCTCAGGCGAGGCGCTGGTTTCAGCACCCCATGGAGGAGCCGCCAGGGCTGTTTGCACGGTCCCGTTCGAGCCCAGGTTGTTGGGATGCCTCAGGCCGTTTGCTTCTTTTGCCACTCCCCCAGACCCCCCTGCGCTCAGAGCATACATCTGAGGATGTCTCAGGCGGCGAGGCGCTGACTTCAGCACCCCAAGGGGGGAGCCCCAGCGAGCTCCCGTGCCTGTGCACGGCGTTTCTGGAGCACGCGCCAATGCACGAAGCACGCGCCCCGTCGCGACAGTTGTATTGCACTCGTCGTCGTCGCGCTGGCGTCACGCGCGACTCGCCGCGGCGCCTGCGAAGCCCCCCCCCCCCTCGGCAACATCTCTTGAGATGCCCATGTCCCCTTTGTCGATAAAAATCCAGGGTTCGGCTTCGATCGGCCAACAAAAAGGCAAACGATAGGGCCTCCTCTGCAACCGTCGTCGTCGCGGCGGCGCGCGCGACTCTCGGAGGTGCCTGCGAAGCCCCCCCCCCTCGGTGCCGGCTTCTCGGCGACCTTCCGCCGAAGAAGAGGTGCCAGCCCTCAGATCTCCCGGAGGCGAGGCACCTCCTGGAACGCCACACGCGCGTGTCGAGCTCTCGCCTGGGCCGACCGTGTGATTTGCACCCCCACCTTTATGCATACAGCCCTGCATTTTCTGGAGGAGGGAGAGGGCGAGGGGGAGGGGGAGGGGGAGGGGACAAGCTAGGTGCGCTCGCGTCATATCTGACGTCCTACCCCTCCCTCCCATCCCTTACCATGGCGCTGATGCGTAGTGGGTGGTGGTGCACGTGCGTGCGTGCGTGCGTGTGTGCGTGGTTGTCGTGGTGGTGGTGGTGGTGGTGGTGGTGGTGGTGGTGGTGGTGGTGGTGGCGGTGGTGGTGGTGGTGATGGTGGTGGTGGTGGTGCTGGTGGTGGTGGTTGTGGTGCTGGTGGTGGTGGTGTTGGTACTGGTGCTGGTGCTGGTGCTGGTGGTGTGGTGGTGGTGGTGGTGGTGGTGGTGGTGGTGGTGGTGTGGTGGTGGTGGTGGTTGTGCTGGTGGTGGTGGTGGTGGTGCTGGTGGTGGTGGTGGTGGTACTGGTGCTGGTGCTGGTGGTGGTTGTGGTGGTGGTGGTGGTGGTGGTGGTGGTGGTGGTGGTGGTGGTGGCGGTGCGGCGCGGTGGTGGCGGGCGGATGGGCGCGCGAGAAAAAGGCCCGCGCTGGGGCGAGAACGCCATCCTGAACGACGGAGGCCAAACACCGATCCGAAAATGAGGCCCACGCTGCAGCGGGAGCACGATTCGGAACGATTCGGGAGCAGAAATGAGGCCGGCGCCTCAACGAGAGCAGCATTTCGGGAAAAAATGACGCCGGCGCCTCAGCGAGAGTCGTTTCCCGGGATTTCCCGGGCATCCTGTGTGTAAAAAACAGTACGCGGAGGGTGCGCGGCCATCACCCGGACGCCATCAGGGGAAGGATTCGGGAGCAGAAATGAGGCCGGCGCCTCAACGAGAGCAGCATTTTGGGAAAAAATGACGCCGGCGCGAGAGCAGCATTTTGGGAAAAAATGACGCCGGCGCCTCAGCGAGAGTCGTTTCCCGGGATTTCCCGGGCATCCTGTGTGTAAAAAACAGTACGCGGAGGGTGCGCGGCCATCACCCGGACGCCATCAGGGGAAGAGGGAGAGTATATTCATATTGAGTAATTGTGGAGGGGAGGGGGAGGAAGAGGAGGAGGAGGAGGAGGAGGAGGAGGAGGAGGAGGAGGAGGAGGAGGAGGAGGAGTGTCTTGGAGTGTCATGGGCGCCACAGTCTCCGCGAAAGGAGACATTTTCCTGGGCCCTTGGTGCCGTCGCGCCCGCATCGCCTGCAGCACGCGTCGTGCGGGCGCCACTGTCGCGCACGACTCTGCGCGGCGTCTCCGCTCGCAGCGCTTCCCCGGGCCCCTCGGTGACGTTTACCGTGCACCCCTCAGGGGCAACTTTAGGGGGGGGGATGATCGCACAGGGTTAGGACGAGGATAAGGCTGTTTCAGAGCGTTCCGGAGATCTCTCAGAGCGTTCCAGAGCGGCTTGAGAAGGCCGCGGCGCCCGAGATATCATCCAGAGCGGCGGGATCTCAGAGATTCTCGATGCATCTTCACCCGATTCTATCCTCGCCCTGGCCTCGTCGTAGGATAGGCTCAGGAAGGGATGCATCGACCCCAGAAACGTGCGGATTTGCTATCCGGGGCCTCTCGCCGCCGGCCTATCGGCGATGTATCGCCGATTTCAGGTCGATGTTCCCTTCCTGACTTGGCATCGCTCGGACGTGTGCATTTGTTCTCGGGGACTGTCGATGACCAGTTTGGGTCATCTTGCGAACAAAATCCGCACACGCACGACGCCGAACAATGCGCGGGGAATGCACGTGCGCCGAGCGATGGCGAGCCAAGCCAGTCACCCCTAACGCCCCCCCCCCCCGATTCCTCGTTGCCGTGCTGGCGTTGCGCACGCGGCGCCCACACAGCACCCCCCTCCCCCCCGCCCGTGGACGGTGCGCACCCCTCTGCCTCTTGCCACCACCGACAGCCCCCCGGCGTCGTTGAGAGTCAACAGTTCTTCCCCCTTCCTGGGCTTGGCAAGGTGAAGTGTGCAAGCTGAGTGCGAAGTGAGCTCGCAGTCCAGTGATTACAAGAAGCCCATGCAGCGATGACGTGTGCGAAGAACCTCGTCAGGATGTTCCGTTCGTTTGCGTGGTGTGGGGGGGGACCACTACGAGTTTGCATGGAAGGCGAACAGACGAAGTCTATAGGTGATGCAGACGCGATGGCGCGTGGAGTCGAGGAAGAAGCAACCGTTCGTTTTGGGCTGTCGAAGAAATGCAAGGCTGTAGTAGGAAGGTGGATACACCTGACGCGGCCAGCCTAGGCGAGAGCTGGAGACATGCGTGGCGTTCCAGAAAAGGAGTCTGCATGTTGATAGTTCTTCTGCGGCGGAAGGTCGACGGAAACCATCGGAAGCTGGCGGAAGGGCGGCGGACGCCGGCGGAACTAAAACAATTAGATTGAAGGTTGTCGAAACCAGCCATGTGGCCGGATGTCTCTTAAGCGCTCGGCCCTTCTACTGCCGTGGAGGGGTGGGGCCTCCGGGGAGGTGTATCCAGTAGGTAGCCTCTGGATGTCCCACATGTGAGTCCAAGTACAGCAAGCAGGTGTCGTGACGCATCGCAATCAAAGAGAAAGCGTCCAACGATTCGCGCGTGGACGATGTGCCTGATGTTCGGTGTGGCCCCGCTTGGTGCGCCCTCCGCACGGCTTTGCAGAGCTTGTCGTGCAGGCGCTCCAGGCCAGCACAGTGCCGTTTTTTATACATGCTCCGCGTGCGGATCATGTATTAAACATGCAGGGACTTAGTATTAAAAACAACGATGAGTTTATGCATACATTTATTCATTACTTAATCATGTATTAAAATCCATCTAAAGTTTAAACATCCTATTATCATGTTTTTTTATAAAAAAAAACTGCCCTGCAAGTTTTCGATCAGGTAGCCTTGCAACACAAAAGGTTGGACAGGGGCAAAGCAACCCCAGCGTCCAGCGCTCTGCCCCTCTCCAGCGTCGGTGTACAGAGTTCGTTTCCCTACATCTCGGATCACCGTGCGAA